TATCCCTATATCCCTATATCCCTATATCCCTATATCCCTATATCCCTGGGTCCCTCTCCCGGCCTTGCTGTCCCTGCTTGGAAGGTGGCAATGCCACGTGGGGCGTCCCCTGACAGCCTGAGCTGAGCTTTTGGGGTCCCCCTTGTCCCCCGCTCGGTGTCCCCTGGCCCAGTGCCACGTGGGGCAGCGCCGGGGTCCCGCTCTGGGGTGCAGGGACCCATTTGGGGTGCGGGGCAGGTGACACAGCCACATCCCACACGAGGCCATCCCCGTGGCCCTGGTGACACCTGTGGTGCTTCCCGTGGCTTTTCCAAGCGCAGCCGGAGCCAGAGCCCGTCCCAGGGGTGCCCACGGGTGTCCCCCACCCCAACCTCACCCCTTCCTTCCATCCCGGGATGGAACCCCGGGGGCGAGGGGGGCTCTGCCCGACCCCGATCCCCCCCAAGCTGCACCCTGGGGGACCCCCGGGTGGTTTGGGGGTGCCGGGGCGGCGGTGCCAGGCGGTGAGTAAGCGGAGAGGGAGGGAGAGAGGGAGGGAGGGAGGGAGGGGGGGTAATTAAAGGGAGGCGCTCCCGCCGCAGCAGGTTCCCACAAATGGGAGGCCCCGCGGCCACAGACACGGCACAACAAAGCACCGGGCAATTATTTGGCTCCACTGGGAGCTGCTGGTCCCGTGGGGGGGACTGGAGAGCCAGCTGGGCACCCCCCGGGCTGGCAGCGCTGGCACCGGGGCAGGGGGGTCGTGGGGTGGTTGGGAGGACACCCCTCTGGAGGGTTTGTGGGGCGAGGGGGGGGACACTGGGTGGTGGGGAGGGATGTGGTGGTGGGAGGAGGGAGGGGAGCCTTGACCCCCCTTCTGGCACCCTGAACCCCCCCAGCGAGCACCCCAACCTCTACAGGGGGGCTGGGGACCCCCAACCCCTCTGGTACCCTGAGCCCTACAAGGGGATTGAACACCCCAATATCCTCCAAGAACCCCGAACCCCCTGAACACCCCAATCTTTGTGAGGGGACTGGGGACCCTGAACCCCCCCCGAGCACCCTGAACCCTCCTCTGAGCACCCCAACCTCTCTAAGGGGGCTGGGGACCCCCGACCCCTCTGAGCATCCTGAGCCCTGGGGACCCCCAACCCCTCTGAGCATCCTGAGCCCTGAAGGGGATTGAACACCCCTGACCCCTCCCAATCTTTGTGAGGGGAGGGGGGACCCTGAACCCCCTGAGCACCCCAATCTTTATTGGGGGACTGGGGACCCCCAACTCCTCCGGCACTCTGATCCCTGAAGGGGATTGAACATCCCAAAATCCTCCAAGAACCCCAACCCCCCTGAACACCCCAATCTCTGTGGTTGGACCCCCACCGGGGGGGGTTGAGGGTCCTTCAGGAGCCACCGCTGGGCGCCACCAAGTTGGGGACCCTCTGGACCCCCCTCAAATCCTCCGAGGGGTCAGTGGGGGGGTCCCAAGGGGTCTGTGATGGGTGATGGGGGCCTGGGGGCGCCCCGCGGGATCAATGATGGGGGTAAAGGGGGGAAAAGGGGGGGAAAGGGGGGGGAAAGGGGGGAAAGGGGGGGTCCCGGGCCCCCCCCGGGGGGTTCCCCGGGACTCCCCCCCACACTCGGGGGGATCCCGTGACGTCATCAGCCCCGAACGTCTCGCCCCCCTCCTTCCACCAATCACAAGCGCGGCTCGGCATAATCGCGTCTTCCATTGTCTAATCTGCCTGTCAATCAAACTGCCCGTGACCAATCGTGATGCGCGTTTTTGTCAGGTCCCACCCGCGAGGAAGTTGCGACCCCCCCGCCCGCTGTCACTCAACCAGCGGACGCGCACGGCCTGGCCTCGCGCCCATTGGCTCTGCGTGCTGTCAATCAAAACTACGCCCTTCCATTGGTTCACCGAGTCCGTCCGTCACCCGGGCGCTCCGCTTTCCATTGGACGGCGGAGCTGCCTATCAACCAGCGACCCTTAGCGGATTGGCCCTCCGTCCTCCATCTCTCCACCGATTGGCCAGCGAGGCAGCGAGCCGGGCGGGGATTGGCTGCGAGGCCGCGGCGGGGCGGGGCGCGCAGGGCGGTGCCCGGAGGACGAAGATGGCGCCGTGAGCGGGTCGGAGCCGCCGCCGCCCCCCCCGGTCAGTGCGGGCCGAGCGGGGCCGGGGGGGCGGCCGGGGCGGGGGCTGCAGGGTCGGGCACCCCTCGGTGGCTTCCACGACCCGCCCGGATCGAGCCCCCGGCCGGGAAGGCCGCGCTTCCGGCGCCGTTGGCCCGGTCGGGGGCGGGCCCGGGCCCTCGGACCCGCCTCCCCCGGGACCCGCCGGGAGGGGCCGTAGGGGGGCCCGGGGTAGGGAGGGGGGATCTGTGGGGTCGTGGGGGGTCACCTGGGGATGGGAGGGGTCAGGTCTGGGGGTCCCCGGGCCGAGGATGCCCGGGATGCTCTGAGCGTCCCCGGAGATGGGGGGTGGCTGTGGCCGGCAGTGCCCGGGATGCTCGGAGGGTCCCCAGGGGTGAGGGGGTCAGTTCTGGGGGTCCCAGGGGATGGGGATCCCCAGACTGGGGGTCTGCGGACCACTGAGGGGGTCTCTGGAGATGGGGGGGTCAGGTCTGTGTTTAGGGGGGGGATTCACCCCCCTGGTGGGATTTGGGCAGGTTCCCAAGGTGGGATGCATCCCCACGGGGGGATTTGGGCAGGCTCCCAAATTGGAATTCATCCCCCTGGTGGGATTTGGGCAGGTTCCCAAGGTAGGATTCATCCCCATGGGGGGATTTGGGCAGGTTCCCAGGATTTAAACCAACTCCCTCCCAAATCCCGGATTATTCCAAGATTTCCTGCCGTCGAGACGTAAATCCGCAGGTGCTTGAGCTCCTCTGGGCTCTGAGTGCCCGTTTTTCCCTGTTTTTCCCTAGCAAACAAACGGAGCTGCTCCTCTTGGATTCATTTTCCCCATGGCTGTGTTTGGATCCAGAATTCCGAGAGGATTTTTTTTGAGGGGGGAGAGTTGCTGAGTTTTCCATGGATTTTTAGGAGGCTCTGATTCACCTGGAGTCCAATACGAGCGAGGCACACACGGGGGGATCCCACTGGATCTTATCCCTCTTTATTTTTCCGGGATAATGGGATCTGTTCCGGGCTGTGTCTCTGCCCTGGTTTGCAGTCAGGGCTGTTAATCCCCAGCTCAGCCCTAATCCCGCTCAAAGGGCGGGTGCAGCCCTGCAAATTCCCTGCTTTTCTGGGAAGAAACCTCACGGTTTTCCAGGAAAAACGTTCCCTTTCATCCCAGGCCGGCGCTGGGCACCAATTCCATCATTCCCAGGAGGCTGCAAGGGAATGAGAATTCCTTTGCCAAGGAATGAGGCGACTCATCCCCAATTCCCAGGCCATTCCAGGAACCTGGGACTCCCACCTGGCTCTTCCCAGGGATTTATGTGCTGTGGGAGAGCCTGGAAGGGAGCCTTGGAGCTGATGCTGGCCCAGGGAAGGCTCCACATTCCCAGGGGGGGAAAAGAGTGTCCTGGGATATCCCGGGGATGTGGTGGGAGCTGGGGGGTCTCTCCTGTGGTTTCCTTGGAATTCAGGCTGCCTGTGACACTGAGAGGGGGTGATGGGGGTAAATCCCAACAGGCTTTCCAGGGATCCACGGCTTTTTCCAGGAGCCTTGGCTGCTCCTCCATCCCTGGACATCCAAACTTCCCTGTAATCCCATTCCTCTGGACATCCAAACTTCCCTGTTATCCCATTCCTCTGGACATCCAAACTTCCCTGTTATCCCATTCCTCTGGACATCCAAAATCTCCATAAACACCACAAGGCTGCATTTGAGATGCCCTGAGTGATCCCAAAGCATCTGTATCCCTTCAACTTCCCTGTTTGGAGTCGGGATGTTGCCAGCAGTGGGAATGAAGACCGTTCAAGCTCAGACATGTCCTCCCTGGCACCTCATCCAGGGAATTTTTCTGGAGCAGCTGCCGGATGGGGAATTCACCAAGGGAAATGTCAAAGCTGAGGTGTCTTCAAGTCCAGAACAAAACATTCAGCAAGTTGTGAGGATTTAGGGGCCTCTTTCCCTTGGTTTAAACCTATAAATGTTTAAAAAAAAACACGAATCTTTCCCAAAAACTCTTGTCCTTTTGGATTCCCAGAGCTGGAAAAACAGGCAGCAGGGGTGGAAACGGGGAGATTTTGGCTCTGTGGGCACAAACCTGCTTCTGCTTTGAAGGGTCCCCCTTTTTTGGGGGAAGGGGGGAGCTCTGTCAGCCCAGGGAGGAAAACAAGGGTGTGGAAAATGTGGGAATGCTGCCTGGGAATTCCCTCTGCTGGCAAACGGAGCGTGGGGAGGTGGTGACACGTTTCTGCAGCCCCTTTGTCACCCCCCCTCCGAAGGACTGGGTGAGGTGGGTGGTGCAGGGAGGGGGGGTCGCCAGGAGGATCCCGTGGGATCAGGGGGGTCTTGGAATGTGCTCCCTGGGCTGATCCATGTGCTCTCTCTCCCGGCAGCTCCAGGGCCAGCATGGCTGCGACTGCCGCCGTCAGCCCCAGCGAGTACCTGCAGCCGGCTGCCTCCGGCACACAGGTGGGTCCAGGGCGGCCTGGGACACAGGGATGTGGCCTGGGATGCGGGAAGGAACCGGGAAGAGACACTGGGAATGTGGCAGGAGAAGGGTTGGTGGCAGGACAGGCTGGGGAGCCGCGCTCGGGGCTTCTTCCCGCTCCCGACAGCAGCTCTTCCACAGGGTTGTTCCAAGGCTTGTTCCCAGTCCCAAGACTCTTCCACAGGGTTGTCCCAGGGCTTGTTCCCAATCCCAACACTCTTCCAGAGGGTTATTCCAGGGCTTGTTCCCACTCCCAACACCACCTCTTCCACAGGATTGTTCCAGGGCTTGTTCCCAGTCCCAACACCAGCCCTTCCACAGGGTTGTTCCAGGGCTTGTTCCCAATCCCAACACTCTTCCAGAGGGTTATTCCAGGGCTTGTTCCCACTCCCAACACCAGCCCTTCCTCCTCCTTGCTCACTGTTTCCCTTTGGGATCTCTCAGGTCCATAGCACAGGGTGCTCTTGGAATTCAAGCTGAGGGGCTGTGATGGGGGTAAATCCCAACAGGCTTCCCGGATATCCACAGCTTTTCCCAGGGATCCCCAGCTCTGTAATGGCTGTAGGGACACAGGGATGTGATTTAAAGGCCATCCTGGTGCCTCAGGCTGTGACAAGGGGCAGCTAAAGGGTAATTAACCACTTCCCTTAACGAGGGGGGTCTCAGCACGGACTGGGCTGGATTTTGGGGTGTCTGGCACAGCCTCCCATCCCTAACTTCCCTGTTTTTCCTGTCCCCAGGACTCCCAGCCCTCTCCCCTGGCCCTCCTGGCAGCCACATGTAGCAAGATCGGCCCCCCCGCCGTGGAAGCCGCCGTGACCCCCCCGGCTCCCCCCCAGCCCACGCCCCGAAAGCTGGTGCCCATCAAACCCGCCCCGCTGCCCCTGGGCACCGCCAAGAGCAGCATCGGCATCCTCTCCTCCAAGGGGAACCTCTTCCAGATCCAGGGCTCCCAGGTGGGCACCTCCTACCCGGGGGGGCAGCTGGTTTTTGCCATCCAGAACCCGGCCGTGCTCAACAAGGGCTCCCGCTCTTCGTCCTCCTCCTCCTCTTCTTCTTCCTCCTCCTCCTCCTCCAACATCCAGTACCAGGCGGTGCCCGGCGGGGCGCAGACCATCCAGGTGCAGCCCAACCTCGCCAACCAGATCCAGATCATCCCAGGCACTAACCAGGCCATCCTCACCCCTTCCTCCTCCTCCTCCTCTTCCTCCTCCTCCTCTTCCTCTTCCTCCTCCTCCTCCTCTCACAAGCCCGTGCCCATCAAACCTGCCCCGGCTCAGAAGGCGGGCGCGTCGCCGGGCGCGGGCGGCGTGGTCAAGTTACCCGGCGGCGGCAACGTGACTCTGACCTTGGCTGGCAACAGCCTGGTGGGCCCCGAGCAGGGTGCCCAGGCGGCCCAGCTGCTCACGGACAGCCCTTCCAAAGCGGGCAAAAAGCCCCGGAAAAAGGTGGCGTCTCCCGCCCAAGCCGCCGCCGCCGCCGCCGTGGCCGTGGCCGAGCAGGTGGAGACGGTGCTGATCGAGACGACGGCGGAGAACATCATCCAGGCGGGCAACAACCTGCTGATCGTGCAGAGCCCCGGCGCGGGGCAGCCGGCCGTGGTGCAGCAGGTGCAGGTGGTGCAGCCCAAGCAGGAGTCGCAGGTGGTGCAGATCCCGCAGCAGGCCCTGCGCGTGGTGCAGGCGGCCTCGGCCACGCTGCCCACCGTGCCCCAGAAGGCCTCCCAGAACTTCCAGATCCAGGCGGCGGAGCCCACTCCTACCCAGGTATCACCTCAACCCCACTCCCACCCAGGTATCACCTCAACCCCACTCCCACCCAGGTATCACCTCAGCCCACTCCCACCCAGGTACCTCCTCAGCCTCAGCCCCACTCCCACCTCAGCCCACTCCCACCCAGGTACCACCTCAACCCACTCCCACCTCAGCCTACTCCCACCCAGGTATCACCTCAGCCCCACTCCCACCCAGGTATCACCTCAGCCTACTCCTACCCAGGTACCTCCTCAGCCCACTCCCACCCAGGTACCACCTCAGCCCACTCCCACCTCAGCCCACTCTCACCCAGGTACCTCCTCAGCCCACTCCCACTCCCACCCAGGTACAACCTCAGCCCCACTCCCACCCAGGTATCACCTGAGCCCACTCCCACCCAGGTACCATCTCAGCCCCACTCCCACCCAGGTACCACCTTCCGAGGTACCAGGCTCCCCCTGGGCCTTCTCCTCGGCCTCATCCAGGGTTTGGGAGCTGAAGGGTTTTGGAGGAGGAACTGAAGGGTTTTGGAGGAGGAACTGAAGGGGTTTGGGGAGAGTTTTGAAGAGGAGGAACCGAAGGGTTTTGGGAGGGTTTTGAAGGAGGAACTGAAAGATTTTGGGCCCATCCCTGGAAGTGTCCCAAGCCAGGTTGGACAGGGCTTGGAGCAACCTGGGCTAGTGGGAGGTGTCCCTGCCCATGGCAGGGGGTGGGACTGGATGAGCTTTAATATCCCTCCCAACCCGGAGAAGGTTTGGCTGCCCCATCCCTGGAAGTGTCCAAGGCCAGGTTGGATGGAGCTCTGAGCAACTTAATGGAAGGTGTCCCTGGGTGGATGGAGCTGGATGAGCTTTAAGATCCCTTCCAACCCAAACCATCCACGATTCCATGATCCCTGGGGTGTGGGGGGGAAGAGGAACCATTCCCGACCTCACCCCACTTCTCTGCCACCCTCAGGTCTACTTCAAAACCCCCTCTGGGGAGCTGCAGACCGTGGTGCTCCAGGAGGCCTCAGCCATGGCCGTGGCTCCGTCGGGATCATCCTGCAGCAGCCCCGTGTCCCGCAGCCCCGGCCCGGGGGGCTCCAGGAAACCCCAACCCCGCAAGGAGCGTCCGCTGCCCAAAATCGCCCCGGCCGGGGGCATCCTGAGCCTCAACGCTGCCCAGCTGGCAGCAGCTGCCCAGGCCATGCAGACCATCAACATCAACGGGGTGCAGGTCCAGGGCGTGCCCGTCACCATCACCAACGCCGGAGGTGGGCTGGGATCCGCCCTGGAATGGGAACAGGGAACAGGGACACACGGGGGGGGGGGTGTGGGCACCTCCCCGAGCTGGGAATCCCCTCTTGGAGCAGATCCCGAGGCTGAGGGTTGCTCTGTGCCGTGTCAGCAGCTCCTGTTGCTCCCTGGGTGATTCCTGGCGTGGATTTTGGGTGGTCCCAAGCCCACCCTGGTCGTCTGGCTCGGGGAGGGTGGGTGGCAGAGGGGCAGGAAGCATCGGAGGCTTCCCAGGAGCCCAGCCCAGCTCCATCCCCTCGGAGCTCTGCACGGGGGACACTGAGCTGTGCCCAAGTCCTTGTGGGGTCTTTCTTTTGAGGGGTCTTTTTTTGAATTTCTTTTTTTTTGAAGTGTCTTTTTTTTTGAGTTTTTTTTTTTTGGTGTCTTTTTTTGTGGTGTTTTTTTTTTTTTTTTCTTTTTTTTTTAGGTGTCTTTTTTCTTAAGTTGTCTTTTTTTGAAGTGTCTTTTTTTTGAGTTTTTTTTTAAGTGTGTTTTTTTTTCAGGTGTCTTTTTTTCAGGTATCTTTTTTGGAAGTGTCTTTTTGAGTTTTTTTTTTTTAAATTTCCTTTTTTTGGTGTTTCTTTTTTTTTCAAGGTATCTTTTTTTCAGGTGTCTTTTTTTGAATTTCTTTTTGTTTTGAAGTGTCTTTCTCTTTGAGGTCTTTTTTTTTTGAGGTGTCTTGTTTTTGAGGTGTCTTTTTTCGAGGGTTTTTTTTGAGGTGTCTTTTTCTTTGAGGTCTTTTTTTTGGGGGGGCTGGTTTTTTTTCGAGGTGTCTTTTCTTTTAATTCCTTTTTTTTAAAGTGTCTTTTTCTTTGAGGTCTTTTTTTTTCGAGGTGTCTTTTTTTGAGGTGTCTTGGTTTTGAGGTGTCTTTTTTGGTTTTTTTTTTTTTTGAGGTTTCTTTTTTTTGAGTTTTGTTTTTTTTTTGGAGATCTTTTTTCCCTGGATCACCAGGACCCATCCATGCAGAGGGATGTGGTGCAATAGGGATTATCCCTCCTGCAGCCTCCCCTGCCATGGCTCACCCTTCCAAATCCCAATCCCAATGCTGGGAACATCTCCCTGCATCCTCTGGGAGCGACAGCTGCTGGTTTGGGCTCCAGGAGAGGGAATTCCCACAGCTCCATAGCAAGGGATCACCATTCCCAGGGAGTGAACTCACCTCCTGGGATCTTCCTTGAGCCAAAACCAGCCAGACACGGCCCAGGAGCCACAGAGAGCCCTGGTGCACCTCAGGCCCCGATTCCAGGACATCCACTGTGTCCCTGCTCCTGCCACCAACCCTCCCCAGGGAGCCAAGAGGAGGGAGCTGTGTCTGTGGGAACTTCATCTCCTTCCCCATCCAGCCAGACCTGCTGCCTGGCCATGGTTCCTGTGCCAGCAGCACCTCGGTTTGGCACCAGGAGCTGTTCCTTCTTGCTCCACTAAAGCCCATGTCAGCAGAAAAACCCGGCCCGCCGTGGTTTCCTGCTCCACCTTTGCCCGCTGCTCCCCCGGGATTGGGGTTTAATTGAAACGGGGGAGATGCCGTGGGCAGATGTGCAGGGGACTGGTAGGACCTGCTGGCTGTGTAACGAGCCAAGTCGGGTCTCAGGAAGGACATTCCCACCTCCAAAGTGCCTCCAAAGAGCTGCTCCGACCCTCGGCTCGGCGCTGATACCCGGGAAGGTGTCCCAGCTCCACCCGCGCTCCCCTCTCCGACATCTCCCCTCTCCGACATCACCCCTCTCCGACATCACCCCTCTGCTTTGCTCTGCTGCCAAAATCCCACTCCTCCTTTCCCTCCTGCTACTCCTCCTCCTCCTCCTCCTCCTCCTGCTGCCCTGGGAGCAGCCATCCCGCTTTGCTGACGCCGATCCCATCTTCTTCTTTCCAGCGCCCGCCGCGGCTCTCTCCGGGTGCCGCCTCCTCCTCCGCGAGCGCCGGGGCCTGGAGCGGCCCCACTGAGGGCCCCGGGGGGGGGGTAAGTCCCGTTCTTTTGCTCAATATATTGCACGTTTTTTCAAAGTTTCTTTTTTTATTTCCTCCTTGGAGAGCCGAACTTGTTTTTTTTTCCTGGAAGGGTCCAACCGAAAACTTTGAAAAACCGCACAGTATATTCAGGAAAAAGGGACTTACCCGGAGGGGAGGGGGGGCTGGTGGTGGGGCTGTGCTGCATGTGGGGTGGGGTGGGGTGGGTTTTGGGGTGTCTCTTGCTCCTGGGGGTCTTCCCTCCAGCCAGAGGGTTTGGCAGAACCCACGGAAGGAGCGTGGCTGGCTGCTGATCCCCCTTTTCCTCCCCCAGGCCAGCAGCAGCTGACGGTGCAGAACGTGTCCGGCAACAACCTGACCATCAGCGGGCTGAGCCCCACCCAGATCCAGCTCCAGATGGAGCAGGCGCTGTCTGGAGAGATCCAGCCCGGAGAGAAGAGGAGGAGGATGGCCTGTACCTGCCCCAACTGCAAGGATGGGGAGAAGAGGTGAGTGGGAAGCAGCACATCCCATGGGAACACTGCCCGCCCCCACCCTGGCCCCGAGTCACGACCCTGTCGTTGAAATTATGATGGAATTATATAAAATTATTGCTCCTCTCAAACTGAGGTGCAAACAAGTGTCAAGAGTAGGGGTTTTATTTAACAGTAAATGTGAGGCAGAGAAAGAGAGAGAGAGAGAAAGAAATAGGGGAAAAAAAAGGGAGGGGAAGAAAGAAAGGAAAGGGAGTGGCAGAGAGAGATGAGGGAGAAAATGTGTCCCCCCTGTGGAACTCGCAGTGCCCTGGGGGTCTTCTGGTCTTCCTGGTGGTGAGGGTCCCACAAAACATGGAATGCAGTGGAGATGGATTAATATCAGTTCAGGAGATGGAGTAATATAAATCCAGGGGATGGATTAATATCAGTTCAGGGGATGGA